GGGGGGGGGGGGGGTCCCCACACCGCTGCCCTTACTGACGTAACCTAAACTTAAGCCTAATAGTACAATATTGAAAAATGGAAATTAATTGAATTTAATATTAACTGATATAGTAATAATCGCAGGCTCATTAAGCCAATGTGTAGTTTGAACCGCGCATGCTCGTAAGAAGACCAATCGACTTAAACAAACATGTATACAACCAAGGAGGTATTTTAAATTGATAAACCTAGGTTTATGTTGATTGACCTGGCCTTGGTTACCACTGGATACGCACATGCGCAGTTCAAACCACGAATTGGCCTATTGTAATACAACATACGTTTAGCCCTATCACAAAAACCACATCTTCTGTAGTGCGAATTAATAGATGTAGGCCTGTCCGTTGTTTTGTTTTATATCGCAATCATTTTTATTTTTAGTATTTTTAAATGACGTATTATCATAGTGATAAAAATGAATAATTCAATTTCTATTGTTTGTTGTTAATTAGCATTTATAGGAATTATCCAGAGTGTAAAAGATGCAGTTGAAGGAGGACAAGTAAGTGTTGGAACCAGAAAAAAAAAAAAAGAAAAAAAAAACAGTGGCCGATCTAGGGGTGGCCAAAAAAGCTCCCCACCCCTAACCCGGCAAAAAATCATTAATCTGCCACTAATAAGACAAATACATAAGCCTGCATATGTTATTTAACCATTCAAATATTAATTACTGTTTGTTGTTATAGACTACGGTGCCGTATGTAAGAGAATAATTACCAGTGAGTACGCTGCTTATGTAAACGAGGAAGTAATGTACGATGAGGCTTCATTTGCGCTTATGAAGTAAATATGTAAATCAGGGTGCGTTTTACGTCACAAAAATATTACCCATATAAGGAGGGAGCGCGCTACATACATAACTAATTATGTATGATTTAATTGAATTTGTGAATACTGCTTTTACGGTACATCAGTGTTAATGTATATTCAAGGTTATGTGCTTTTGTATCTAGTCTCAAAAACAACGTGATATATTTTGCAATTTTTAAAATAGCTTATCGACAATCGCATACTAATAGTAATTGATTTAATTTATTAACCAGACATATCCCAGGAATAAATCTAGCTATTCCGTGGCATGTAGTTTCATTGAAGCAACAACAAACCTAATTATTTAATATGACAGGCCTTTATTTTATTTACTATTACTATTTCACTATTGTAAAAGCTACAATTCGTGTGCATGATTGTTTTAATTATCATTATTATTAGCAGTATATTTGTACTATTTTGTTGGTATTCCGATATTATTACAGTATTACTAATCAGTATTGTATATTATTATCTCCGCCAGGAGATATATATTTCCGTTCGTGTAAGTTTGTGTGTGTGTGTACCGCTTTGCTGTTTCAGTTTTGTTTTGTGTTCAAAATATCTCAAAAAGGCTGCACAGACGTAACTGAAAATAAAAGGGAATGTTAGGTATAACCCAATGAAGAAATGATTAAATTTTGGTGACGTTCCGGAATAGGGTGTGGAAGTGAGGACCATTTAAAGGAATTTGTCCTAGACAAGATACAGTATCTCAAAAACGAATCAACTGATATGAATGAAACTTTCGTGAAAGTTCAACCAAGTTACAAGTAAGAAATTATCAAGTGTCGGTCACGATCCAAATTCGGGGGTGAACTTGAGGGTTATTTAAATTTTTAAGGTTCAGCGTTTTTTTTTTGTGTTCAAAATATCTCAAAAATAGCTGCACCGATCTAAATGCCAGTTACAGGGATTGTTAGGCATAACCCAACGATGAGGTTATTAAATTTTAGTGACCATCCGGAGTAGGGTATGCATATGAGGACCATTAAAAAAAAACGTCCCATACCAGATATTTCAAAAACTAATCAACTAATCTGAATGAAACTTTCGTGGAAGTTTAACCAATTTACAAGGAAGGAATTATAAAATGCTGGTGACGATCCAAATTCGGATGTGCGTTTGAGGGTCAAAAAGGTCCAGCCCTAAATATCTCGAAAATGGATCAATGGATATAAATGAGAATTGGCAGAATAGATTGTCATGTTTTAATTAAGAAATTTTCAAATTTTGGTCACGATCCGAAGTATGGTGTGGATATGAGGACCATTTAAAGAATGAGTTTACTGTATAACTGTAAGCAAAAACAAGCTACCGGTATATGATGAATATTTAAATTAGTGCAATTACAGTAAAGATGTACAACGTTTTTTATGTACTAACTTTACTTTTTTCGGAACTTATTTGGAATATTTTTAATGTATCCTTACATTTTAACATGTGACGCTAAAAACCAAATCCCCATATTTCTATTTCCATAATGTTTTTATTTAAACACCAATACATTACATGTATTTGTTTGTAAGCTATAAGAGTAAAAACGTGCCAGTTTATCAGAACATGTAAGGAATTGGCAGGTGTACAACTGTTACAATAAAAGGCGTTTGATAAATGAAGTGATTATATTTTGGTGTCGATAGATATATGGACCATTCAAAGCATCAGATGTCTAAAAAACTAATCAACTTATCTAAATGAAACCTTGTTAGTGTAGTCTTTTAAAAGTAGATTGTTGTTGGTGGTTGGAAAGTAGGAACATATTTGTGCTCTATGCTCTCTACTGAGTGCTCCTGTTATTATTATTATTATTATTATTATTATTATTATTATTATTATTATTATTATTATTATTATTATTATTATTAGTATTAGTATTATATTATTATTATTATTATTATATTATTATTTTGTTATTATTTTTATCATCATTAATATCCTAGGTCCAGTAGCTGTCTCTTATACACATCTAGATGTGTATAAGAGACAGGTGCAGTGTCTGACTTCGAGTATTTTTATCATCTTTGAGAAAAACAAAATCGTGTCCCAGAAATATATATATCTGTCTCTTATACACATCTAGATGTGTATAAGAGACAGATTATTATATTATTATTTTGTTTTATTTCAGTCTTTAGTAGGTTTTTTTTTCCTATATTTGAGTACAGACGTTTTATACTTTATAACCAAGGCCGGATTAAAGGGCTGTGAGGCCTGGGCCTGTAATTGCAAGTGGGCCTAAATACTGTGTGGCTATAACATAAAACCAGATCTTCTGTAACTTTTCCTTTTGTTCGGGGACCTATTTTCCCGTTGGGGCCTATGGGCCTGGGGCTGGCGCCTCAAAGCCCATATGCTAATCTGGCCCAGTTTTTAATCAATTTTTGATTAAGGAAAATCTAAAATTTTTGTTATGTTCGCTTACAACCTTTTGTCGTAATTTTCAAATAATACTTTTATCGTTGTCGCAGCATGCAAATACGACAGATAAGTATGGAATGACGGCTATTCACAAGGCCGCTGCCAACGGTCACTTAGAGGTGCTGCAATACTTAACAGAATGCGGAGGCAACATCCATACCAAAGATAATACGGGATTCACCGCTATGCATGTCGCCGCTAGTAACGGACATATCCGTAAGTTAAACTTGACAGAAATGTACAGTCTGCAATTTGAAATCTGGGGCTTTTTATTGTTATTATTATTATTATTATTATTATTATTATTATTATTATTATTATTATTATTATTATTATTATTATTATTATTATTATTATTATTATTATTATTATTATTATTATTAATACATATACAATAGGTGGTTCAATGCTTTAAATTGGTGATGCGTACACATTTGGTTTAGCGACTTTCCGTTTTTATAGTTTTATTTGTAATCTTTCAACAAAAAAATAACAAAGGTTGAACAAGGATGCCGAGGATTAGCAAAAGTTAAAAAAATTGTGCTCATCCAACTTTTATCTTTATTAGGCCGTACTAATAACTTGCATACGCATTTAGTGTATGTTTTACGCGAAGAGCTAAGACTGGTAAACGAAACATTATGGTGGAATATTTTAATATTAATTCTTAGGACTACAAATACTTCGGTTGCTCCATAAAATTGAAATTATACGACGGTATTTACCTGATGTAAAATTAAGATTATGACCTCTCCTGGAGGCGAAATTCAAGAACTGGCCAGGGGATTAGACCTACCCCACAGTCGGGCCGCCGCTAACATTAAATAGTATGGGAATCCGAAGACGATATTCTGTTTTCCAAAGCTCGGATTAAGCTTATGAAAGAACTTATACAGAGGTAGAGGGCAATGCATTACAGGAGGTAGATTTATATTCCAAAGAGCCAAACTCGTATTCGAGTTTCTATCTTGCCAGAGTAATGGATGCCATTTCCATGAAAGGGGGTGGGGTGGTGGTGGGAGGTGGTCGGAAAGCATCCTGTCCAATGAAAAGGCAGACAAACCGACAGACAATTTTTTTATTTTATATCTGTTATTACATTCAGAGACCGTGAAATGGCTTGTTAAAAATGGAGCGGATATCCATGCTTGCTCTTACAAAGGGAAGACCCCATATGAGGCAGCCAAGCGGAACAATCAGATAGAAGTATCCTCCTTCCTCAAAGAAATTGGTAAGATGTATGCGCATGCCTATATTAATTATTTAAAAAATCATCAAACAAATATTTAGACAACATGGTTTATTTTTAGTTTAATGTTGAGTGAAGATTTCAAAACACCAACATCAGAAAATGGAATGTAAAACATCATGACGATAGTCATAACATGCCTGCATTTTAAGAATGTGAACAGTTATAACATGCTACTGTATCCTGTAACATGTACACTCTTTGCACTTGTGTAGTTGTACAGCACTAGTTCTCCATTCTATCTTAACCCCTCACACCAACTGGCATTTGGCTGGAAGAGTTATCCTCTATAAACAAAGTTGAAATAAAAAACAAAATGCACCGGAAATACAGTAATAGAGATGAATATGATGCATTCTTTTCTTAAGCATTTTAAACGACAAGACAGGTTCTCAGAAAAGATATGTTTATATCAATCAGGTACAATATTATTGTACCA